CAGAATGATGTATACTGTTGACGAAATGGAAAATCACCAAATGCATAAAGCCGTTTCGAGAACGCTTGTTGGAAAGAAGCGTAAACCTGCACGTGACGACCGCGAAAGGTACCGTGGGTATTTTTCAGATCACGGTTCCTTGGCCTTAAGATTTCAAGGAAGTCTGAGAAAAAGTCACTGTAAGGACGAGGCATCACAGGTTGGATGAATAACATACTTAGTAGACCTATTAAGGTATTATTATTGACTACCGGGTACCCAGATTACCTTTCGAGATTGTCGCAGCAGTTTTGTCCTTTTTCCAACAACCTTTCTTGAAAAAGCCCACGACAAACATTGATATTGTAACAAGGAAGGAGGCAGAAATAAAAATTGTGTTCCAAAACTTTTGTCCAAATTGTCAGAGTTCCTTTCGTAATAAAGAAGCATGTTAATACGCTCCGAGGGGTAAAGAAAACGTCAAATTACACCAAATTTTTACACTTCAGACCACGGAGTAACAAGGAAACTGTTCTGATTTAGGACAGCTGTTAAGATGTTTAATCTCCATCGTAAGTTAGAACTGTTTTGGAGTAATTACAGTGTAGTACAGGAGGTGACCAATACATTTGCCTTTCTGCCGTAGTACCTGCCTTGTCACAATACAATCGATCTTTTCTTATAGCAGATGTCATTCTGTTTCAACTAACTGCTGAAATTATTGTTTTACCTGGTGCCAGTATTCATCTGTTGGGTTGTTCTGTATCTGAAATCTCATCCAAGACAGATTCTCTCCGAGGAATTCACCGAGAGAGAAGCAGAAATCTGGGTCCTCTGAGCAATAATCAGCCAACGTGTTAAGCCAGTGCATGTCAATCAAATGTGACGTCACATAACCCTCCAGCATGCCAGCAACCAATGCTTGCTGCTTGTCTTTGTAGTCACCACGGGTTACAACTTGGAAGAATTCCCAGCTGTATATCGAAAATAAATACTTTAAAGCGTTACCTCTAGGTGGGGAAGAATGCGTGATTATATTCGGAGATCGCGTGATTATATTCGGAGAGGAGGAATAGCGTGACTGGTAGATAGCTCAAAGAGGAGCAAAGATTACGAATATTTTTTCTGCACGAATATTTAGCTAACGGATCTAATGAAGCTATCTTCTAAACCTACCAATATAACTGCTGACCTTATTTGCATATAAAAAATTCACCAATTTGTACGAAAGAATTCTCAAAATGAAGGCGTTAATCGGGCTAAAGAAGCATATCAGTGCATAGTTTATACGCTAATGAAGTCACCGATTGCCTCAAACCCGCGGGCATATCTTTAACTTTCATCCACCAACATCTTAAAAACAACGCAAATTCATGTGTCAGCTCAATTGCGCTCGTGTCAAAGATCATTTGCATAATTCTGAATTGACCAAGATCTCCTTTTGACCGTTCAAACTTCGTCTATTTATCCTCTACGTTGAGGATTTGAGGTTTTCATAACAACTGAATGGAGAATAGACGCTGAGTCATCCTAAAACGTTGCGTAAACGTGATCGATCGTAACGCTTGCATGCTTGCGTGACTTACAAAGTAAACAAAACCAAACTTAGTTAATCGAAAGTTATTTTACAAGGAATTTATCTCTTAAAACGTTTACTTGATTCATAGAAAGCAAAGATTGTAGTGACTGCGGGTATTTCAGCCCTGATTTCTTTCTCGGAATGCCGGGACGACGTATCGAATTTTTCTGAAGTCTGAAATTTTCACTTTCGATCGCTGTCCACACGGGTGTTTTAGCCAAATATCATTGTTGGCTTGTGGCATCGCAAAAAAAAGAGAATTGGAGAACAACTAAACCATTTTTGGAACATGTGTCCTAAACCCTTTTCATGGGCAAAAAATAAAAGAAACTTTTTTTCCGACGGGAAGTCGAGAGGACCGCTCTTAGCGAGAGCGGCACTTAAAATGAGTTAGTACTTGTTACGACTCGTGAACGTCTTAACTTAGTCACTGGACTTGAATATAAACAAACAAGCAGATAATTATGTTGTAGCATGACCTCGAGACAAAACTGTTTAGATCACCTTTTTTCAGATGTAAATTTTCGTCCTTTACTCGAACTGTGATGAAAAATAGTGTGAGTTGATAACTCAAAACCTAACGTCCCAAATATCTAACAGCCAAGTGACGATTAGATTTCATCAGCAACTGTGGTGCCGAATGAGCAACTAAAAATCTGGAGTATCTGTTAATCTTACCCCGATTTTTGTATACTTCCACTAAGCTTTCCGCTCGCAACTGGATCATCATAGTTTCCTCTCCGGATTACTACATTAGAAGATTTTTCTCCCTTCTCCAAAATAGCTGAATATATCTCATCATCTCCGTATGCTAAACTCACAAGCAACAGGACAACTGCAGTAACTATCTGTTTCAGCCACATATTTGTCGATTACAGAGGCTTGTGCTTGACTTCAGAAGCGCATTAGACCGAAACAACTGCGTCATGGAGCCATTATGTGTCTAGGCTGAAAATTATTGAACTCGATAACAAAGCTTCTCACGTGATTACGCAACGGGTGAAAGCCCGAAGTCTAAAGTGGAGGTGGTGGATCAAGATTTGTTTTCCCAAAGATGGAATTCTAACCGACAATTCTTCTCTTCTTTCTTTGTATGGTGTAAATATGGTAAAAAACAGCTTCGTTTTCATCAGTTCCTAGTCGTCATTTTTGCAATATGCACTTTGGTTTGGCAGTAAATGTTTCCTAATATAACCCTTTACACCCTAAAATCAGTATGCATATTCTCCTCACTGTTCTGCCGACATCCAGAATTCGTTTAAAATCAAGAGCTTCTTCAGTCGGTGATCAGCTCCTTTATTCTCCTGACCTTCATGTTTATTTCAGGCGTAATATGGTAAGGAGAAACTAGATGTCAGTCACTCTTGGGAATTAAAGGGTTAAGAGTCTGTCCACGAGAGGACCGGACAGGCGTGACACATGCCATCTCACCGATTTCTTTCAACTTTCACAGTTTATAAGGGTCAGTAAGTTATTCAAGAATCCAGAGTGGTTCGGGCTCCCGGCTAATCCCCAGAGTATCAGAGCCCCCACATTATATCCCTGGGGTAAAAGGCTAAAATAAGCTCGAAAGATGCACTTTCAATTAATTTCTCTCACTCTAATGGTATTTTGTCCAATGGTTGTTTGGACGTTAAGGAAACAATTCCTTTAAGTTGGGATAATTTGATATGACTTCTCTCAATTTGGAGCAGTTAATCATTAACTGTGTCACGCAACTATTCCCCCCCAAAAAATTCGGTTTTTTAATTGCAAGTATCTGCAATGGGTAAGATACTATCATAGGAAAGACCTACCTTAACACTACGTTTGTGGACAAAAAGATGTTTGGCCTCTAAAATATTCGTGATCACGTCCCTATGAAATAAGTGACCTTTGTCGTTAATTTATGCAACTGGTGTTTAGTGACTCAGTTTCAATTTGAGAATGAGATCGTCGACGCTAGTTTTGCGGTGCTAATGTCTAAAAACAGCAGATGTATAGCTGTCAAGCTAAGAAGTCACATATCATAGAAATTTTGTGACGCTGACACAATCTATTGGAAAAATTATACGTAAATGTAGTAGATATCAGACATTAAACATTAACGAATTGACGTCGGCAGTTGACAGCGACGTTTGCCAAATGTAATTTACACAAATGAAACACTAAATATACTCATTATAAGTTTACTCAATTCGCCATAATTTTTTTTATCGGAGGGAAACTTTGGAGCAGACCCAATCGAATGTTAGGTACATTTTGATGACTCAAGCTAACTCTACCGGAACGCACTGTCTTAATTGGAGGTTATTTATGAGACATATAGGAGAGGCAATCAACTGGATTAAGTAAGGCTCGAGCGAGGTGAGTTTTGACTTTTCTGATAATTGTAACTTTATTTGGTTTTATCAACTGAGTTGAAAACGTTAAGAGTTTTTAGAGCTGAAGTTAGCTGTTCGTCATTCGCTAAAAAGAAACGTTAGCTTTAAAAACGGTTTGCAGCGGCCAATTTACATAATTAACTCAGTTGACTATACCGAATTATCTCGTAATCCCCCCTCCCCCTACCGACACAGCATCACAGTTTCTTTAGAAACTTACCCATTTTATGTAACTTGTATAACTTATGTAATGGGTAATTGTTCGTTGTAAATTTAAGCTCCTAGAAATCTACAGATTGCTTAGTCAGGCTGACGTGCGAGTGTTTCGCGGGTCGCGGGTCGCGGGTAAATTGTCGCGGGTCGCGGGTAAATTGTCGCGGGTCGCGGGTAAAAAGTCGCGGGTCCGGAAAATTGTCGCGGGTCCAGAAAATTGTCGCGGGTCCAAAAATAGCACTTTAATCGTAAAAATTGAACCTTTTTTTTATTTTGACCTGATAACCAGTAATTAGCTGATAAAAAAAATTCAAATTGAAATTGCTCAAATTTTGTAAATGTTCATTTTTTCATTATGAAAGAATATTTTTGTTTGCAAGAAGAAATGAACAAAAAATTCAATCACATCGATCTCAAGATTTAATTATCAGTCAACAAAATTGCAAATTGGCAAACCATTATCTTTGAATGCTGCCATTGTGATGTCAGTAAATGAACTGTCAGCTCTGATTTTGTCCGGTGGTTTTAAATTGGTCCAATGTGGTATCTTTTTATGCATTATTGCTTCGGACAAAAATAAAACCTTGTTTCTGGAACGAAATTCTGTTCATAAGGGACATAAAGTCCTTTAATGGTGACGGTATCTTCATCTTCGTGTTGTATTTTTCTAAAAACCCGGCATATTGGTGCTTGTCCTCTTTTTTTTCTTCTTTTCTGGAGTCCAGACTCGTTGGTTTTTACTTCGAGGGTCATTTTACATCATGTACGTATATACGTATTATTTCTCTTATCGTCTTTGTAGTGGCCTTTCCGTTCACATTTCCGTTTACCTAGCTTGACGGATTATATGATACAACCTATATTTTTGGAAAAAGTGTGCCGGTGTCATTTTATGCCAGCTATAAACGTCATTATAAAAAAACCAAAAAATAAACCGAAAAAAAAATTCATCAAAAATAAATCCGGAATACCACAAATAAACTTAGAGTAGTTATGAACTGAACTTAAAAACTACTTTTATTCTCATAAGCCCGCTGACGGCCGGTGAGCAAAACAAAACTTAACAAACGATTTTGAAAAAAATTACGTGATGTTCATCGAGAAATCGACAAGGATTTTAGAGCCAAGAGAACTTCCAGGAGCGAAAAATTTAGAAAGTTTGTTGAGATAGTGCAAGTGAATAAATGTATTTTCACAAGGAATGTGGTTCGCATCAAAGCAGCCGTTTGTGGGAAGAAACTTTGCATTTAGGAGAATACATCTTCCTGGACCCGCGACAGTTTACCCGCGACCCGCGCCGTTTAGATTCTCATCTCATCATCTGACATGCGTACCATAGAACTTTCTGGTACATTTCATCAAGTCACGCAGTTATTACATAATACTACTAAAATAGTTCTTTTTTAAGCTTCTAGAACACTTTATGTGGGAACTCAGTCAGTGTAGCAGTAGTTGTTGTTGTCGGGAGTGACCGACTGTGTAGAAAGCTATACCGTGAAAGAGAGCTATAGTGGAAGATTGCAAATTTCAAGAAAGGTTGGAAGAAAACTGTGTGTTTGGCTCAGCAGTGAGCTAGGCTATAAGCTGTGGTAGGCTTAAGTAAGTTTATCGAGGATAGGTATTGTACCGCCATTGGGAGTCGCTCCTTATTAAGATTATTACTCGTTGTTTATTAAAGTAGTTTAGTTTGTAGGATTGTAGCGTTTTTCTCTCGGTTAGATTATACCGTAACACGTGTGAGATCAGTGGATCGATCAAGGGCTGGACCACAAATAGGTCGTGGAATTTGTGGGATACGACACAGCACCCGTTTGATTACCTGACAATTTCGATCATGAATATTTGAGCTTGCCTGGACGGAAGTTAGAGATGACTAACCTAGAAATCGCTTATTTCACACTTCTTATTGTTATATTTGACGCTCCTGAACGTTTATTATTTGGTAAAATTTACTTTAAAAGTAAATAAACGGTAAAACAGCTAGAAATGAGTTAAATTATGTTCTCCAAGTGTTCCTAACTCTCTTTATATAAATAATGTCGATTCGTGTTTCCACGAAGATTTGGGGAGTTAGGGGTGGCTTAAAGAGAGCAAATACAGTTAAGAACAGACACAAGTCCTCTCTGACAGAGATTATAAAAATATGCATGAAATACATCAAGGAAAACTTGGCAGACAGTCCTGCAATATTATTCCGTGATCTGCCAGCTAAAACAGCAGAGGACTTCTCCATAATTGCTAAAGCCACAGGAGAGCCAGCTTTAAACTACCAGGGTGGTACGGCGCTTCGTTCGAAGATTGACCACAGGGCTGGTATTTACACAACAAGCAACGAACCTAATTACTACTCAGTGGAACTGCACAATGAGATGGCATATAATATGATTCATCCGTCCAAGGTAATCTTTAATTAGACTGCATGTTCTTTTATGTCCTCAGTAAGTGGAGTTAAGGTAAGGTGATTATATCGGTTGATGTGTGGCTACAGCCAAATGGAGTCTGTTTAAACATTTTGTCTTGGACCGGGTTATAACTTGTCATCAAGCTACTTGAGCTTATTTGTTTGTTTGCTTGTTTGTTTGTTTATCTTTTGAACAGCATTGAGTTCCACCGTCTGTCAGCTGGAGCTGCGCCACGTTTCTCTCAAATGGTCTGAAAAGAGCATCTTTCAATTTTATCTATGAAAAACTGTCTCTTTTTCCCAAATCTGCACTACTGTTAAGCTTAAGGACGGTGCCTGCAGATAAGGTCTAAATTTTGCCAAGCTAATGACTATGCAAGCAAACTGGATCATGGTGTCATGCACCGCCCGTGTGCACAGTTAAAATAACAGTCAACATCCGGCCTTAAGTGCGGGTGGAAAACGCTCTCAGGGCGCTTTGAGCACTGAAACTAGCGCTCTTTTATTGATAAATATGAATCTGGAAAGCAACCAATAAGGTGCCTTATAAAAAATTATGTGACCATACCGTAACTGCTTCCTTTTTCAGGTGTTCTTTTTCTGCTGAAAAGAACCCGATGGTAAATGTGGAGGTGAAACACCATTAGTAAAAAGCAATGAAATCCTCTCCAAACTAGATCCCGAACTGGTAAGAAAGTTTGAAGAAAAGGAAGTGTTATATGTTCGGTTCCTGCCCGACAAGTCCCATGGAGGATACCTAAACTGGCAACACATGTTTGGAACCGACAATAACACAACAATTAAGAAAAGTCATACCGTCCCTCTTTTCTTAAAATACAAACATGGACATCGCTATATTCTGATGAAAGCCCGAGGAAAAATTTTCGTAGTCTACGAGGTAAAAGAAAAAAGATTCGTGAGCTTGGGTCCCCAGTTTCCATTCGTAGACAGGAACCGCATGCAAATCAAGATAT